CCAAAACTCAAGGTCAATGCCCACTAAACTCTTCAAGTATTTTCTGTTGGTCATGGGAGTTCTGTGTGCCAAGTTTGTCCAGATTCTATTGTTGGTGGAGTTCAGGATGCTCTTTGACTGTAGGTGAACTATAAATCCCAGCAACTACAACTCCCAGATGTCAAGGTCTATTTTCCCCAAGCTTCTCAACTGTTCACATTTGGGCATATTGAGTAGCCATACCAAGTTTGGTCCAGATCCATCATTGTTTGAGTCCACAGTGCTCCCTGGATGTAGAAGAACTACAACTCCAAAACTCAAGGTCAATGCCCACCAAACCCTTATAGTGTTTTCTTTTGGTCATGGGAGTTCTGTGTGCCAAGTTTGCCCCAGTTCTATTGTTGGTGGAGTTCGGGATGTTGGTGGAGTTCAGGATGCCCATCATGGTTTGAGTCCACAGTGCTCTCTGGATGTAGGTGAACTACAACTCCCAAACTCAAGATCAATGCCCACCAAACCCTTCAGTATTTTCTGTTGGTCATGGGACTTCTGTATGCCAAGTTTGTCCCAATTCTATTGTTGGTGGAGTTCAGGATGCTCTTTGATTGTAGGTGAACTATAAATCCCAGCAACTACAACTCCCAAATGACAAAAATCAATCCTCTCCCAACCCCAGCAGTATTCAAATTTGGGTGTATCGGGTATTTGAAAGAAAATGCATCCTACATATCATATATTTACATTATGATCCATAATAGTAGCAGTGAAAATAATGTCATGGTTGGGGGGTCACCACAACATAAGGAACTGTATTAAGGAATTGCAGCATTAGGAAGCACTGCCATAATGTGTTCGTTTCATCCCATTACCTCCCTCCCTTTGCTTCTGGATTAATAGACCATCACAACATTAAAAATGCCACATTTTACAGGATCCCGTTGCATCCTTAAATATATCTATGGCAAACAACCTTGTTGGAAACCCATGAAAACAATGCTAAAGATCAGATTTTGGGGTGTCCGGAGGTGAAGATATGGGGTTCCCCCCATAATGAAACATTTCTTAATCCACCTCCCTTTTCAAATTCTCTCAAATTCCCCTTTTAAGGTCTTACCTGCTTCATCATCTCTTCTCTGCGGAAGTGATGCTGCAGCGGGTTTCCTGCATCCTTCCTCCCGTTGCCATGGAGACCGAGGTCCTGCGGGACCGATTCAATAGGGAGGAAACGCTGGTTGCCGGGAAGGGGAAAATATATCATCATTAATATTATTATTCCCCTGCTTTCGTCTCTGGATCGAGGTCCATAGCGGCTTGCAAACTCAAAAACAATGCCATTTCAAATATGCAATATACAAATATTAGAATTACAGCTCACAAATTGCTGCTAACCATAATACACTGTTCAAATAAGAGATGCATTTCGAGAACTCCCAATTCCCCAAATCCCACCTTAAGGGGATGATGGGAGTTGTAGTCCAAAAAACCCAGGAATATTATGAGCACAACTTGCATAGCTATCCAGGATGGCATCTACATTGCAGAATTAATACAGTTTCAAACTACCTTAACTGCCATGGCTCAATACTATGCGATCCTGGGAGTTGTAATGCGATACTCTTGGGCAGAGATGACATTGTAAAACTACAAATCCCAGGGTTTTCATCACATTGAGTCATGGCTACTAAAGTGGTACTAAACTGGATTAATTCCACAGTGTGGATGCACCCAGAGAAGAGCAAATGTTCCCCCCAAAACAACATATCCAAGGGTTTCCATCGCATTGAGCCACGGTTGCTAAAGTGGTGCCAAACTGCATTAATTCCACAGTGTGGATGCACACAGAGAAGAGTAAATGTTCCCCCCAAAATAACGAATCCAAGGGTTTCCATCGCATTGAGCCACGGTTGCTAAAGTGGTGCCAAACTGCATTAATTCCACAGTGTGGATGCACACAGAGAAGAGTAATGTTCCCCTCAAAACTACAAATCCCAGGGTTTCCATCGCTTTGAGCCACGGCTGCTAAAGTGGTACCAAACTGGATTAATTCCACAGTGTGGATGCACCCAGAGAAGAGTAAATGTTTTCCCCAAAACAACAAATCCAAGGGTTTCCATTACCTTGAGCCACAGCTGGTAAAGTGTTACCAAACTGCATTAATTCCACAGTATGGATGCACCCAGATAAGAGTAAATGCCCCCCCCCCCAATAAAGCCCTACAAATCCCAGGGTTTCCATTGCATTAAGCCATAGCTGCTAAGTGGTACCAAACCGCATCCATTTAACAGTGCAGATGTACCTAGAGAAATGTCCCGTCCCCTCCAAAAAAACCTACAAATCCCAAGGTTTCCATCGCATTGAGCCACGGCTGCTAAAGTGGTACCAAACCACATTAATTCCACAGTGTGGATGTGCCCAGAGAAGAGCAAATGTTCCCCCCAAAATAACGAATCCAAGGGTTTCCATCGCTTTAAGCCATGGCTGCTAAAGTGGTACCAAACTATATTAATTCCACAGTGTGGATACACCCAGAGAAAAGCCTCTCCCCCCCCCTCAAAAAAAACTACAAATCCCAGGTTTTCCATTGCATTGAGCCACAGCTGCTTAAGTGATTCCAAACTGCATTAATTCCACAGTGTGGATGCACCCAGAGAAGAGTAGATGTCCCCACCCCCCAAAAATACAAATCCAAGGGTTTCCAAAGGATGGAGTCATTGCTGCTAAAGTGATACCAAACTGCATTCATTCCACAGTGTGGATGCAACCCAAAGCCATCCCGATTCAAAAGTGAAACTGGAAGAGAGCATTTGGTGTTGATCCAAAACAAGGGCTCCAAACTCGAACCACACCTGGCCAAGCCAAGGAAACAGTAAAACAAACAAAAGTGAAGATTAAGTCAAGCATTTCAAGGAAGTCATGTGATTTCAAGGCACCGAATTATGGGCTTTTGTTTTGGCTGCAAACTCTGACACCCAAACGGCGTCTTGAAACTTTGAACGGTGCCAAACAGGCCTCCGCAAAACTCAAGCCAATTCAACGGGAAGAGTGTAAACAACAGTCATGCCAACTCATGTTCACAGTGGTGTTTAGTGTTTGTTCTGGGCTTACTGGTTTTAATGGTTTCCTGTTGGGGTGCAAGGATGGAAGCCTTAGAAGATCTGGGTTTGAATCCTGGCTCGTCCAAAGCAGGAGTCACACCATCTCAGCTTCAGATGAATGACAAGGAGGAAAGTTGGACAAAACTATCGCAATAAAGATACAGAAAAGGAAAAAGGAGCAAAACATTGACAGAAAGCAAAGGAGAGGCACCCCAAAGGTTTCCTTTTTTGGACTACAATGCCCATGATCCACCTCAGAGAATACCTCAGATTGAAAACACTAGATCTTTTTTTCTAGTCCTACCATAACATTGATTTATTTGGGGTAAAAAAAATATTTTAAAATATGGCTGGGCTTCCCTATAGATCAGGCATGGGCAAACCTAGGCCCGGGGGCCGAATGCGGCCCCTTGGGCTCTTTTCTCAGGCCCTCCTCTCTCTCACCATCCTATCCTTCCTTCCTTCTCTCTTTCCTTCCTCCTTCTTCTCCCTCTCTTCCACCCTTTAGTCCTTCCTTCCTTCTCTTTTTCCCTTCCTCCTTCCTCTTTGTCTTTCCTTCCTTCTCTCTTCTTCCTCCTTCTCCCTCCCTCCCTCTTTCTCCTTCCATCCTCTTCTCATCCTCCTTCCTTCCCTCTTTCCTCCCTGTCTCCCTCCTCTCCTTCCTTACTCTTCCTTTTCTTCCTTCCTTCTTTCTTTCCTTTATCCTTTCTTCCTTTCATTCTTCCTCTCTTTCCTTCTTCTTCATCCTCCTTCCTTTTGTCTTTCCTTCCTTCTCTCTTTCTCCTCCTTCCTTCTCTCTTTCTCCTTTCATCCTTCCCTTCCTCCCTTTCATCCTTCCTTCTCTCTTTCCTTTCTCCTTACCTACCTCTTTTTCTATCCCTTCCACATTTTCATCCTCCTTCCTTCTTTCTGTCCTTCCTCCTTCCTTCTCTTTCTCCTTCCACCCTTCTCTTCCACCCTTTCATTCTTCTTTCTCCCTCTCTCCTCTTTCTTTCCTTCCTTCCTTTTGTTTCCTTTTCTTCTCTCTTTCCTTTCCTTCCTTCTTTTTCCTTCTCCTCCTTCCCCTTCTTTCCTTCCTTCCCCTCCCTCCCTCCCTCCCTCCCTTCCTTCCTTCCTTCCTTCCTTCCTTCCTTCCTTCCTTCTTTCCTTTCTCCCTTTCCCTCCTCCTTCCCTTTCCCCTTCCTTCCTCCTTTGTCTTTCCTTCCTCTTCCTCCTCCTCCTCCCCTCTTTCTCCTTCCATCCTTCCCTTCCTCCCTTTCATCCTTCCTTCTGTCTTTCCTTCTCTTCCTTCCTTCTCTCCCTTCTTTTCTTTCCTTCCTCTTTCCTTCCTTCCTCTCTCCCTCCCTCCCTCCCTCCTCCCTCCTTCTTCCCTTCTTTTCTCCCTCCTTCCCTTCCTCCCTTCTCCTTTCCTTTCCTTTCTCTTCCTTCCTCTTCCTTCCCTTCTCTTCCTTCCCTTTCCTTCCTCCCTTCCCCCTTTCTCTTCCTCCCTTCTTCTTCTTCCTCCTTCCTCTCCTTTCCTTCCTTCCTTTCTTCCCTCCTCTTTCCTTCCCCTTTTCTCTTCCTTCCTTCCTCCTCCTCTTCTCTTCTCCCTCCTTCCCTTTCTTCCCTTCTCCTTCCTCCTCCCTTCCTTCTTTCCTTCCTCCTTCTCTTCCTTCCTTCCTTCCTTCCTTCCTTCCTTCCTTCCTTCCTTCCTTCCTTCCTTCCTTCCTGGGCAGCCAACCCTCCTAGGAGGGAGTGCTAGCATGTGACCCCCAAGTTAAAAAGTTTGCCCATGCTCACTATAGAGTCACATCTCCATTTGAAGGAGGAAATTGCAATCATGACTCCTGAAACTCACATATATGGATGTATGCATGTGTGTGTGTGTGTGTGTGTGTGTGTGTGTGTGTGTGTGTGTGTGTGTGTACTCTTTCACTTCATCTTTTTTGTGCAGCCAATCGGACATTGCTTTGATCACTTGGGATTGATCTTTCTGGAGAGATCTTCCTGCAAATCATCCAAACACAAGATTGCTGAGCCTCATTTAGGGGAAAGGGAATGATCTCCCAGGAATATTATGATGGGACTTTGCTGCAGGAGGGAGACAAGGGAGAGTTTGCAAGGAAGGTCTCGACGGTGGGGAACTGGACCGCTTTGGAGGAAATCTTTGGCCCAGAAATTGCAGAAACTAGAGATGTGTCGCTTCCTAAAACATGCCGAAATGGTGAGTTCCCAGTATGTAATATCATCCTCTGCTTGCTCTGCTTTGCTTTTAAGTACATCTCTATGCCTTTCTTTGAACCCAGCCTCATTTTAGGAGAGGAAAGTTGAGAAAGTTTGCTCTAGATGCGTCATCGGTAAGTTCTGTGTGCACTCCGGCTGCAAGGTAAACTACAACTCCCACCATGGTGAGTCAGTCCCCTCAAACCCCTACAGTAGGTTGAGATAGTCATGGGGGTTCTGTGTGCCAAGTTTTGTCTCAATCTATTGTTGGTGGTAGTCACAGTGTCTCCAGATGTAGGTGAACTACAACTCCCAGAAATGAAGGTCAGTTCCCCTCACATCCCTCCAGTATGCTCAGTTTGTCATGGGGATTCTGTGTGCCAAGTTTGATTAAGATCCATTGTTGCTGGGGGTCACAGTTTCTCTAGTTGTAGGTGAACTACAACTCCCAAAACTCAAGGCCAATCTCTCCCAAACCCCTCTAATAATCAAATTTCAGCATATTAGGTATGTGTGGCAAGTTTGGTCCAGATCCATCGCTGTTTGGGTTCACAGTTCTCTCTGGATATAGGTGAACTACAATTCCCCCAAATAAAGGTAAATTTCCCCAAAGACCTAAAACATTTTTTAAATTTTTAAATTTTAAAAAATTTTGCTTGTCATGGGGCCTCTGTGTGCCAAGTTTGGTCCAATCCATCTTTCGTGGAGTTCATATTGCTCATTGATTGCAAGTGAACTATAAATCTCAGTACCTACAATTCCAAAATGTCCAGGCCTATTCCCCTCAGAACCTAACAGTATTCAAATTTAGGCATATCAGGTATGCATGCCAAGTTTGGTCCAGATCCATCATTGTTTGGGTTCATAGTGTGCTCTGGATATAGGTGAACTACAACTCCTATAAATCCCTCTTAAGACCTCTAGTGGGTTTTTTTTTGTGGGGGGGGGGGGTTGGTCATGGGGGTTCTGTATGCCAAGTGAGTTCCAGGTACATCATTGGTGGAGTTCAGAGTGCTCTTAGATTGCAGGTGAACTATACATCCCAGGACCTACAACTCCTATACATCCTGGTGAATTCTCCCCAACCAAACCTCTCTAGTATGTTCAGTTGCTGATCAATTTCTCTGTTTGCTGTGTGCCATAGAAAAGAATCAGAAAGGGTTAAGGGAGAGGCAGTGGGTGGGTTCATGCAAATTCCACACTAATTGAGAGAGTCAGGAACACTGGTGGAGGAAACACATACAATCTGTGGTGGAGGAAACACATACAATCTAGGATGATATTGTTCCCAAATAAAAGTCCACCATCCTCCTGTCTATATTGCTATCACAGTATCATAGACAGTCTCTTAAAAGTCACCTGATCATCTAGTCCAGCCCCATTCTTCCACAATTCAAGCCCTCCCGATAGATGGCCATCCAGCCTCTGTTTAAAGCCCTCCAAAGATGTAGTCCACCATCCTGTTTATATTACTATCACAGAATCATAGAGGGTCTTCCAAAGGTCATCCTATCATCTAGTCCAGCTCCATTCTGCCACAATTCAAGCCCTCCCGATAGATGGCCATCCAGCCTCTGTTCAAAGCCCTTCAAAGATGTAGTCCACCCTCCTCCTGCCTATATTACTATCACAGAATCATAGATGGTCTCCTAAAAGTTATCTGGTCATCTAGTCCAACTCCATTCTGCCGCAATTCAAGCCCTCCCAACAGATGGCCATCCAGCCTCTGTTTAAAGCCCTCCAAAGAGTCTACTATCCCCATGTCTATACGACTATCACAATATTGTAGAGTGGGAAGAGATCCCCAGAGGTCATCTAGTCCAACTCATTCTGCCACAATACAAGCCCTCCTGCCAGATGGCCATCCAGCCTCTGTTTAAAGCCCTCCAAAGAGTCTACTACCTCCATTTTATTATTTGTCATCTATACAACTATCACAATATTGCAGAGTGGGAAGGGATCCCCTGAGGTCATCTAGTCCAACTCATTCTGCCACAATACAAGCCCTCCCGACAGATGGCCATCCAGCCTCTGTTTAAAGCCCTCCAAAGAGTCTACTATCCCCATGTCTATACAACTATCACAATATTGTAGAGTGGGAAGGGATCCCCAGAGGTCATCTAGTCCAGCCCCCTTCTGCCAAGCAGGAAGACCCCATTAAAGCCCTCCCGACAGAGGGCGCTTAGGTCCATTATTTTGCCCATAGATTTGGGGTGAGGTTAAATCCAGACCCAGACCAAGACCAAAAGTGAAAGTCGGCTCACCAGCCTCTGTTTCACTTCTGCCCAGTGCAGCACCCACAAGAGGAAGGTAAGCTTGATTGCTTTACATCATTCTCTCTTGTTTGTGCAGCATTTCGGGAATTTTTTTCCTAATTTTCCTCTAATTTCCTGGCTTGCAAAGGACTGTCCTTGAAGGTCCCTTTGCAATCTCAAGAAGAAGCAGGTGGGAAGCAAAGTGAACCATTCCAAGCAGGGCTGGCCAAAAAAGCCTGCCAGCCCTTGTTATCTTGATAGGCAATTACTGTAAAATCAAAAGGGGAATTTCCTGCTCCTGTTTGTCTGGGATTCCCCTTGCCGTATTTAAGGCCGGACTTGGTTCTCCATCTCTTCCGTTCTCTGGCCGTCTCCTCTAAGTAACTTTTCCACCTCTGAAGTTACTTTTCGGATATAACTCTTTGGGCAGCTTTGGAAAAGGGGGCGTCCTACTAAGCATCCTCTCCAAGGTCAGTCTTTGTTCCCATTGGAAACTGGATCTCCCATCAGTTCCACCTGTTGCTTGAATGACATCCAAAGGTCAGTCCCTCCTTTGTTTGGCCTTCTGCGACCAACCATTTCCTGAATCCTATTTCCTATCTTTTGCTTCCGGGGCCAGAAAAGAGGATTTGAAATTTACATTATTATTATTATTACTAGCCGTCCCCTGCCACGTGGTGCTGTGGCCCACATGGGGATTCTGTGTGGGAGGTTTGCCCAGTTCTATCGTCGGTGGGGTTCAGAATGCTCTGTGATTGTAAGTGAACTATAAATCCCAGCAACTACAACTCCCAAATGTCAAGATTCTATTTTCCCCAAACTCCACCAGTGTTCACATTTGGGCATATTGAGTATTCATGTGGAGTTTGGTCCAGATCCATCATTATTTGAGTCCACAGTACTCTCTGGATGTTGGTGAACTACAACTCCAAAACCAAAGGACACTGCCCACCAAACCCTTCCCGTATTTTCTGTTGTTCATGGGAGAATTGTGTGCCAAGTTTGGTTCAATTCCATCGTTGGTGGGGTTCAGGATGCTCTTTGATTGTAAATCCCAGCAACTACAACTCCCAAATGACAAAATCATATTTTTTGAGTGAAGGAAGGACATACATTGGGTTGTTAGTTGTCTTGTGTCCAAATTTGGTGTCAATTCACCCAGTGGTTTTTGAGTCATGTTAATCCCACAAACAAACATTACATTTTTATTTATATAGATTATTATTATTATTATTATTATTATTATTGAGCCGATAGATACATTTATTATTATTATTATACTTAAATATTTACTTTATTATTATTTTACTTCATTTTTTGGATTTTAGGTCTACACTGTTGGGTTAATACAGTTTGATGCTGCTTTGACTCAATGCGATGGAGTCCAGGGAGTTGTAGTTCTGCAAGGTCTTTGGCCTTCTCTTCTTGGACCTTGCAAAACAGCAACTCCTAGGACTCGGTTGCATTGGAATCAGTTCCAATGTACAGCAAGCCCAGTTTTGGTCTTATTATTATTACTCTGAACCTTTACTCTTTGACTTTGGAGCTCTCCAATGTGCCAAACCCTTAAAATAAGTGCAATAAGTAAAAGTAAAAGGGATGTCAGGTAGATTTGGAAAATAATATGAAATTTCATCTGCAAGCACGTGAAAGTGTTCTTTCACAGAAGGTATAATTATAATCCTTTTCTCTGGTTCAATGTCATGTTCATCAAAGAAGGCAGATAAGGCAGGCAACATATACATTTTATTTTCATCCAATTTTTTTTGTTGCCAAAGCTGAAGTTTCAGTTGAGGAATGCTTGGATCTTTTCTGACAAATCAAGGCATGTTGCATTTGGTCCTTGCAGTGAATCATAGAATTGGAAAAGACCTCACGGACCATCCAGTCCAACCCCCAGCCAAGAAGCAGGAAAGTTGCATTCAAAGCACCCTTTTAAACAGAGGCCATCCAGCCTCTGTTTAAAAGCTTCCAAAGAAGGAGCCTCTACCACACTCCAGGGCAGAGAGTTCCACTGCTGAACGGCTCTCACAGTCAGGAAGTTCTTCCTAATGTTCAGATGGAATCTCCTTTCTTGTAGTTTGGAGCCACTGGTCCACGTCCTAGTCTCCAGGGAAGCAGAAAACAAGCTTCCTCCCTCCTGCCTATGACTTCCTCTCACGTATTTATGCTTACTTACTTAGGCCATCCCTCGTAGTCCGAGGATGTCCTGGGGGTGGGTTGGTAGGTGGCTGTGGAGCCCGATTCTTGACCCGTATCTTCTCCCGCAGTGAGGGTATTGGTTTCTAGGTGGGAGGCGGTCTCGGTCGGGGTTGGCTTGACGCACCTTCCTCTTGGCACATTTCTCTCTTTCACCCTTCATTCGTGCCTCTTCAAATTCTGCAGCACTGCTGGTCACAGCTGACCTCCAGCTGGAGCGCTCAAGGGCCAGGGCTTCCCAGTTCTCAGTGTCTGTGCCAGAGTTTTTAAGGTTGGCTTTGAGCCCATCTTTAAATCTCTTTTCCTGTCCACCAACATTTTGTTTTCCGTTCTTGAGTTCGGAGTAGAGCAACTGCTTTGGGAGACGGTGGTCGGGCATCCGGACAACGTGGCCGGTCCAGCGGAGTTGATGGCGGAGGACCATCGCTTCAATGCTGGTGGTCTTTGCTTCTTCCAGCACATCTGACATTTGTCTGCCTGTCTTCCCAAGAGATTTGCAGGATTTTCCGGAGGCAGCGCTGATGGAATTGTTCCAGGAGTAGCATGT